CTTCTAGCATTGTACTTTCTGCATTCCAAACACGAGCCACAGAAATAAAATCTCACTTCGGTAACTGCCTTTTCGAAAAAAAAATGATTGCCATTCGCCACATCTTGCAATGGAGAAGAAGAGGAGGTGAGGAGGAGGGTAGACAGGGGAGGAGGAGAGGTGGAGGAGAAAAGGTGGAGGAGGAGAAAAGGTGGAGGAGGGTGTGGAGGTGACGAGGAGGCGGCGTTCCAAGTTCCCAGAAAAACAAAAGTGAACAGGGGGTGACGAGCGGGAGGTGAGACATGGAGGTAGAGGAGCAGGAGGACGTGACGAGGAGTTCCCATTAAAAAAATATGACATAGCTGTGACCAGGAGGAAAGAGGTCACGAGGAGGAGATGGAGAAGTAGGTGATGAGGAGGGGGAGGAAGTGGTGAGGAGGTTACGAGGAGGAGAGGAGGAGGAGTAGGATGTGGTTTTGAGGAGGAAAGATGGAGGAGGTCATCATGAGGAGGTAAGATGGAGGAGGAGGTCATGAGGAGGTAAGATGGAGGAGGAGGTCGTGAGGAGGTAAGATGGAGGGGGAGGTCATGAGGAGGTAAGATGGAGGGGGAGGTGACGAGGAGGTAAGATGGAGTGGGAGGTGACAATGAGGAGGAGGAGATTATGGAGGAGGAGGTGGTGAGAAAGAGGTGGTGGAGAGGGGGAGGAGGAGGAGGTTACGAGGAGGAGACACAAACAGCATTCCAAACTAAAAGTCTCCATTAAATGGAAAAAAACAGTGACGAGGCTGTGAAGAGGACGAGTGGAGATGGAGGAGGAGGAGGAGGAGGTTATGAAGAGGAGAGATGGAGGAGGAGGAGGTGGTTACGAGGCCTTGACGAGAACGAGGAGGTGACAAGGACGAGGAGAGGAGGTTATGAGGAGGAGAGACCGAGGAGGGAGTGTTGAGGAGGAGGTGGAGAGGAGTAGATGCCAATGGTGTTCCAACTTCCAAGTTTCCATTTAAAAAAACAAAAAAAATGGTGAAGCCATGGCGAGGATGAGTAGAGACGGAGGACGAGGAGGTTACAAGGAGGAGTGATGGAGGTGGACGTGATAGAGGAGGAGGAGGAGGTCACGAGGAGGTGAGATGGAGGAGGAGGAGGTTGGTTACAGTAGGAAAGATGGAGGAGGAGGTGACGAGGAGGAGGAGATATTGACGGCATTCCAATTTCGAAGTTTCGGTTAAAAAGGGAAAACATAGTCGCGAAGCCATGACGAGGATGAGATGGGGGAGGTTACAGGGAGAGAGGGAGGAGGTGGTGACGGGGAGAGTAGAATGTGATGAGGAGGTGAGATGGAGGGGGGGTGAGGAGCAGGAGGAGATGGCAAGGAGGAGGAGAAGGGGACAAGGTGGAGGTGGCAAGGAGGAGGAGGCGGAGGAGAGGTGGAGGAAGAGGAGGTTAGGAGTAATAGTGGTAGGAGGAGGAGGAAGAGGACAAAGGTGGAGGAAGGCGAGGAGGGGAAGGAGGGAGACGGTGAGGAGCAGCAGGAGGAGAGTAGGAGGAGAGGAGGTGATTTCGCGGGAGGGTGGGAGGGATGTTGAAGACCCATCTGGCACGAAGGAGGATGATGGTGGTTGGGAGGGAGAGGGTAAGGAGGAGGAGGAGGACGAGAGGAAGTGAGTTCGTGGGAGAGTAGGAGGGCTGTTGAAGACCCACCTGGTGTGAAGGAGGACGGTGGCGAAGGACGGCACTGCTTCGTGGAAGTCAAATCTCCAAGGAGGGCCTGCAAGACTATGAGCAGAAAAAAGACAGCCCCCCCAACCATTTCGTTTTTTGCTGTCCTTGTGCTTTCAAACAATTTTGAATTCGTTTCGGTCCGAGTTTGAGCGCGGCCTGCGGAATTTTGTTTTAGGCCCTCAACCTATTCTTGTTGAGGGGCAGTGGTAACGACAAAATCCACTTTTTTCTTTTTCTTCGCCTGGGGACTCATGTGCTGTGCAGGTAGTGTGCTGTGCGGTTGGGGTGCGCATGAGCGCCAACAGTCTGCAATCTTGCGCTCGACGTGCACTTGCATGTATGGATTGCATGCATGTTGTTCACACTTCTGCAAGGAAAATGAGCGACAGCGAAATGACAGAAATCCAGAATGCAAAATCACATTGAAAGCCAGCAAGTCCAACGCTGTCCAGAATGCAGAAATGCACTGATATTCCACAAAAGGAGAACCGAAGCTCTGAATCCTAATGTCAATGAGAGCATACTCTCGACACCACCAACATATGTATCCAGAGCTCTTCCTACTACTTGGCGCTCAGCGCCCAGACTACGATCACACAGCTACTAGCAGCCTACAAATTGACAATGCATCCCATAGACGTCAGCAGCAACAACCGCAGTACACGAAGATGTGGACCTTGTAGACCATCGCCAAGACCAGGTGCGTGCCCTCACACCATCAACCTCATCTCTATCTCTCTCACCCTCGACTTCATCACCCATGTCTTCTCCCTCTTACACGAAGATATCCAAGCCCAAGCCCGGCTACGTGGGCTGGGCTATGGCGCTGCCCACAGCAGCGCCCTTCCTCACGAGTTACCGCACGCGGGCCTGCTTCTGCACTGGCGCTAGCAGCACCATGCGAGCGTTCGCTTCAGCATCACTTCTACCCGCTCTACCAAGTGCCCTAATGTCCATGCAGGAGCCCGACCCTTTCCTATATGGAAAGTGGCGGCCGCATTCCCCTTGCTTGCCCCATGAGACAGAGTTCCCAGTAGCTTCAGTCTCGGCCAAAGTGTCTGCCCCCAGAGGCCCGTTCAGACAGTGGTCTGGGACCGAATTGGTTAGGCAGGCCCAACCACCCAGGCACAGACGTGCAGTGCTCCCTGTTTCGACCATGTTGCTGGAAGAGCCTGGAAGGCTCTCACATCTTTCCGATTCTCACGAGCAAAGCGGATGCAACCAACTGGGGCGTGGCAACTGTGTGGCGCCCACCAAGATTTGAAAAAATTGACGAGTTCAGGGCACATTGAGGTTCAGGGGGCCTGCCTTCACTTAGGGCGGGCACGCGCCTGCTGCAGGGCCTTATGCTGAGGGGTAAGCCCTCGCATTCCCTCCTTTCCTTCGATAGTCCTCTGAGAAGTCGTTACACAGCAGGCTGCTTCCCTTTCAAATTTCGTTCATAACTGGAGATAATTTGGGGAGCAGTTTTCATGAACTCTTGTCTTGTGAACCACCGATCGTCTTTAGGATCAGTATGGTGTCTGAACTGCGCTCGATACTGCATCTATGGTTTCGGAGGCGTCCCCTGCCTGGAGGCATGGGCACAGGCATCAGCTTGTGCTCGACATATTGTCAATGTCCACATGTCCGTCCATGGTTGGGGGCAGTGTTGATCTTCTTGACGGAAACTGCTCACTTTCAGCGAAGGGTGCAACTTAGATGCTTGGAAAACAGGGTGTGTACGGAGGTGACCGGGGATGGGAATATGATGGACCATCTGGCTGATCCCCTACGATATCCAAAATTTCCTAGGGTCCGAAATACTGTGGCATCCGTTTACGAGAGATTCCCAGCTCCTGTCCCAACTTGGATGACTTAACCCAGACTCGCTCACCTACCTGAAAAACAGAGGGTCGTCTGTGTCTGTTCTCAGATGCTACCATGGCATCCTGAGATTTCTTAATGTGCTCAACGGCCTGCTGCAGCATCTGTTCGTCCTTGACGGCAAACTCTATGCTGCCAGGTGCTGCAGTCGGCTGATTTTCAGGCAACAGGAAGTCAAGAGCAGATCTGGGCTTCCAACCAAGATGCAGCTGGTTGGGGGTCTTACCGGTAGTGTTGTGCACAACATTGTTGTATAGGCTGGCGATGAAAGGTAACTTCTCATCCCAGTCATCTTGACTTGGCTTAATATAATGTTGAAGCAAGTGCTGCACTACCCGGTTCATCTGCTCAGCCTGCGCATTTGAGAGTCACGTACCTAGTTGTCCATGAATAGCTTGACGACGTGGTCAGTCCTAGCTGTCTCAGGCATAGCGATTAGTCTAGCATACTTATTGAACCTGTCCACAAGGGCTCAATAAGCGCAAGCGGTGCCTGCGTCCGTGGCCCGCCCCGTTGACAAACTTGACAAGTATCTACATATATCTTTGCATCATCCATCGTTGTGGGCCACCAAAATCGCTGCACTGAATTTGCTGCTGTCTTTTTATTACCGAAATATTCGGTTGCGTCGTGGCACTCACCTAGAAATAAACTACACAAAGACTCAATTTGGAACACAGGAACGTTTATTCCCAACCTTCTCAAGGATCAGCAAGCCATCAACCAGCACAAACTCATCAGAAGTAGCCTTGTCTTTAGCTTCTAGTTTGTGGATGATCTCAGACATGACCATGTCGTCTTGATAGGCTTCCAC